TTGTTACACAGTATACATAAGAATATCAGTCATGTGACCCTGTGTCTGAATGGGAGCTGTGATTCGCTGCCACTATCCAGAATTTCCAAAGTATTTTATGGTATGTTGCTAGCCCAGGAAGAGATCAAAATCAAAAATGACAGTTTACAATGAATGCATACCATAAAATTGAAAGAGCATAAGATGAACAATAATTTGGGGACCACCTGTAATCAAAATAATCCAACAAGGAAGATACTATTTATTAGACCACATAACTAAGGAAATTGAAGCTTAGTGCTGGGTACTTTTCTCAAAGTCAAGACAAGTGTTCTTTTGTTTTTGTTTTTTGTTTTCTTAGCAGTAGGCATATATTTTTTTCTTAAATGATTCTTCCTCCAGTCCCCAACCCTCCCCAAAACACACTCATATTAATTTGTGAAGAAAATGGAACATTTTATTTTCCTGTTAACAACTGTTAGACTTTTAATCATTGTACATTAAAGAATGACTTATTTTTTAAAATCAAATAACAATATAAGCCTACATATGATAAAAATAAGAGAATCCACTTCTTTTCCCAAAATTCCTGAGTTTTTGTCAATTTTCAGAAAAATCTCTCTTTATTTCCACATGGGTTTAATTAGTTGGCAAAGAATTAAGCATAAAATATTAAAAATCCACACTAAAAATGACACTTTAGAAAAAATAGGTAGCATTAAAAAAGCTGTGTTTCGAAAGGCAATAGGGGTAGCTTTAAAAATTAAAGACATACTGTGTGTTTTAATCCATAAGGGAAATTTTATTTTCTTGTGCCTATTTTCTAATGTTTTGCATTTTTAATAAGTTTACAATGCAATTATATTTATTAAGAAAATGAGAAAAATTCAGGTAGCTTCCCCACCCCTAATATTCAGTTGCAAAGATTCACCTTTGTTTCTGATACCATTATTTAGTATTGCTTAGATCATCTTAACATAAGGATTATTTGTGATAATGTGATTTATTTCATATACTACCTGCAAAGTAGTGTTTCCTATCCATTTTTTGGGTCATGATACAAAAAGAAATGTTTGTAATGAGACTGGAAGAAAGTGGATGAGTCAGCTGGCTCAGAACTGAGACCAGACTCCCATGTTTTACTGTTCACTGTGCACTGAATACCATGTGGGTTAGGGGTTAGGTAGTGAATCCATGCAGGTAGATTCCAATTTAGTGCCTCCACTCACCCATGCCCCAAACACACACCCTTTCCTACTTTCTTCCTTCTTATTGTTCTCCTCCTACTTTATCACTGTAACCTGTTCCTTCTTAGCTGTTACAGTTTGGATCTGGAATATCCTTCAAAGGCTCCTGTTTTAAAGGTTTGGTCACCAGCCCATGGCACTGCTGGGAGGTAGTGGAACCTTGATGAGGTGGAGTGTAGTGGAAAGTCATTGGGCTGTGCCTTCAAAGGGGATATGGGGACCCCACCCCTTTCCCTGTCTTTTTGTTTTCTGGTTGCTATAAGTTGATCAGTACCCCTGCCATGCTGTTCTGAGTCACCACAGGCTCACAGAGCTAAGTGGTTGTGGACTGAAACCTCTGAAACCCTGATCTAAAATGAATCTGTCCTCCTTGTATATCTCAGAATATTGTGTCACAGTAACGGAAAGCTGACTAACACGATAGCCGATACATTTTTTTTCTGAGTTGTTTGACTAAACAATTTTTTTTCAATGTTTTTTTCTCTTTGTTGATTTTCATATGTCTCTTTCATGTGACAGATTGTTGTTAAAAAGAGTGACTGTCTTGGATGACAGTTTATATTTTTAATAGAAAATCACCATCAGTTCATTGTGTCAGTTTTCATATGGCTCCTCCTGTGAGTGTCCTGGTCAAGATATCCACACACTCCAGAGCCAGTGCTTAGGAATTTAACCCATTAAAAAGCGCTGAAGTCACATTTTATCATTTTTCCTTTCCCTGATGACTTTGACAATGTTGAGAATTACATCAATCTCAAGTCTGCTGCTTTAGCCAGTCCTAGTCCTAGCTTGTAGTGTTTAGAGTCTAGAGTTTTATTCTTAGGGCAAAAGCAAATTGCTTCTTGCTCAGTAGTAGGAACAGTCAGGAAATTTTCAATTATCCTGGTTGTTGTAAATGAGATTTTAACTTATTACCTTGAACTTTGTCTCAAGAACCATTTCTTCTCTTGAATTTTGAGTTTGGTATCCTTTAATTTTGGAAATTAGTTTTAAAAACTTAATATTATATTTGAAATTGCATTTTACAGTTCTGTTTTAAGCTATTATTTCTGCTCTGGTACCTCTGCTCATCTAGTTCCAGATTTACTTTGCTTCTTCAGGGACTCTTTTAAATTTGTTCTTATATAATGACACCATTTATCAATTTTCAGTGTACTAATATATTTATTATTTTTAAAGTAATTTTTACTCTTATTTCATTCACATGTCATATAAGGTATAGATATAGGTATTTAGTCTGCAAACTCAATAAATTCTTTCTCTACTTGAAATATATATAGTATATATATATATGTACATTTTTATTATGAAAAAAGTCAGCATAGATCTTATGTGTACTATACTATTAATATTTTATATACATGTATATAATAAAGTTACTTATACCCCACAGGCTAGAAATAACTACTTTAGATATTTTGGGTATATATACGGCTAGTCTTTTCTTATTTATTCAAGATTATGTCTTGAATTTTTACCACATAGTTCTGTATACACTTATTTTATTAAAGCAGAAACCTATCAAATTGACAATATTTTAACTTTTCTGAGTTATAAACTTGCTCTTAGATGGTAAAGATTCTCTGATGGAATTTTTACTAGTAACATCTTTTATCACATAGAATATTTTTATCTGTTCTCTTATTGCTTAGATTGCTTCCAATTTTCTGCATTATAAACAGTGCTTCTGTGAACATTCATAGAGACAAATCTTTTTATACATCCATAATTATGTCCCCAGGGTAAATAAAATTGCTCTTCTTAACCTTATATTGCAGAGGTCTTGTACAAAATCTTAGATACTGCCACATTGAATGACTTACCTCTTTTTGCTTTAAGGAATATTAAATCAATTTCCTAGTTCTTTTATCAATTCACAAAATCATTAAGCTAGTTTTATATAACTGTCCACCGTTATGATTTGGGAGTGTGAGAATATGTGCAGAAGAGAGAGAGAATGAGAATTCTTAAAACATTTAAAACTGTTAAAGCACTAAAGGCTGATTTTCATTTCTTTTTCAACAACACCTGTATTGGGAAAAATCTGGGAATCACAGGTGCTTTGATGCCTTAATTCTGCAACTATTACAAAACAGAAATAAAACAATGCAAAACAACAACTAATGACTTTCCTTCTTAGATGAAGCGAGGAGACAGATATATCAAGCAATTGTCTTTTATGATGCTTTGCTTTTCTTGATAACTTACCTGTAGAGAACTGGCATGTTTTAGTCATTTAGATACAATAAGCTAGACTTTTGTCTAGCTCTGTCTGACTTTATTGACTTTGACTCTTCTTCCCTTACATTGCCAATGCTCTTTAGTCAAGGACCACCAAGAACATACTTGAACTTGAACTGTTTGGAGTTTTGCTTGTTGCAACAAAGAAAAGACACTCTATGGGGAACCACAGGATGTCTCAGTGAAGGAGTATTACAAAAGATTATAGGATTTAGGCTGGTGTTTGTGATTTGAGGGAGGTTGTCAAGAAAAAAAAGGGCTTCACTATAGTTTTCTTGCTCTCAAGAAGTGGGGTAATTTTATGATTTAATATAATAATGACTCTATTTACAAGGAGGGTCAACTGTTCCAGTTTTCTTGGGACAGAGAAGATTTCTGGGACATGGTATTTTTATCACCTATGCCAGAAAAATCCCAGGCAAATTGGGCAGAGAAGCTCTCTCTATCTAGAAAACAGCAGAAATGAAAAGAAGCTGAAGTTGTTATTGGTAAAGATGCAGCAGCCAGATGTCTGTCTGGCCTTTGTGTGATCTGAGTAATCCTGTTTTTGCAGAGTGGTCTTGACTCTCTGTCCATCACATGTCTTTGTCTGGTACTGAGAAGATATTGATGTTCGGTAGGAACTCACCAGGGCTTACCTGTGAGTTCAAAGTGGGCTTGTGGAAAACCAAAGCATTCTTATTCCTCAGGCCAGTTTTATGGGTCAGAAACGGATACCTGCTTTTCCTTTTACGGTTTTCTTGTTTGGGAATTTGAAGGATACTTTTGGGTGGGCCTAAGAGTTTACACATGTTGTTGCAATGAAGAGAGTTGCATTTTGAGTGTCTTGATTTTAGACAAGTTAATTCTATGCCCCAAAGAAACATTTTAAACAAATTTTTAAAAATTGTCTCATTACTTGCTACATATTTTTTCAACAGAGAACAATGTTTTAATGATTGACACTAAAAGTAAAATTATTAAATGTTAAAACAATAACTACTCTACTAAATTCACTTTTAGTGTATTCAGTATCCTTAGAAATACACATTAAAAAAACAATTTTTGTATATAGAACACTTATTTTTGTAGAACAGGTTAACATTTTAATGAACACTAGTATTTCAATATTAAACTAAATTTTATTGAAGTATTAGTTTTGCTTATTAAATTAGAAATAAAATTAAATTTTAATAATTGTTCTGATTTAAATTTTCTAATTTAAGATAAAATGATTTTTATTACAATCATGAAAAAAGAAATTATCTAATGCTTTTTGGATTTATTGCTTTACTTCAATAGTAATTGAAGTCTTTTTAAAACACAACTAGTAGATGAGCATATTATTATATAGTAGATCTACTCTGGTCATAAATGTTGCAATATTAGTTAAATTGAGAACATTATTTTAATTATTGATATATGATTAGTTATTTCAGCTGGCTTAAACTCAGTTTTGTTTTCCCATGTATGCATGAAATTTATTGATCATCAATTAGTCTTTATAATAATGGATGAAATAATATAATCTATTTTTTGCAAAAATTTCTTTAGATTCTGAAGACTACCTTGAGGTCAACATTCCAGCCGACGTAGGAGTCATGCATTCTGGGGAAATAAGTCAGAGAAAGGATGGAGAAAATTCATCAGAAACTTCAAGAAGCACCATGCCACTGGCAGTAGTGCTCCCTGCTGAAATTCCATGTGAGGTCAGTAAGTGTGTCTTAAAAATTTAAGTGGCCTGCTGTTTTCATAAATACCACATTTCTCTAGACTGTAAGCTATAACATTTTGGTCTACCTTGCTCATGACTGTGTCCCCAGAACCTTGAACAATATCTTGGAATTACAAGGCATTTGACATATACTTATTGACTAGTTGGACATTGGAAAATATATGAAAGCTGAATTTTATCCATTGTTACTTGATATTTTACAAAAAGATAGATATATAACTTTACATGAACATACACAAACACATATCAAGCTGCTTAAAAGAAAATTGGATTTTCTTTTCCCAAAGGGAAACATACTCTTCATACCCTTGAACCCAATTTGAAAATACTTATCTTTAGAAACATCAAATTGTCTATCATAAAAGTGTAGGAAAGGCCAGCATTATTAAGTAGAAATGCCGTAAGAGCTCTAAGTTGTGGTCCTCCAGGAAATGACTAAGGTTGGAGAAGGATTTCTGGAAAGATCCCTATATGAAAATATATTCCTGACATTTCTTCCTCCTAAATCTTCCTTGGAATGAACCAAGAAAATAAACCACTTGTAGAGCTGGAACTGAATCCCTGCTGCGTAATCTGCTGACAACACGAAAAATGCTGGACCTCAGAGTTTACAGTGTCTGTGAGAGGAAAGAGCCAGAGACGCTGGGGGAGGCTTACAGGAGCCGCAGGGAAGAGTCCTTCTGACTGAAGCTGGTGGATGCTCAGGACCTGAGGGCAGTGGCTTGCTAATGGCTTTGAGTGGGTTCCTGATCCTGCAGGGAGGGAAGCTAAGCATCCTGTGGAGTTGGTTGAAGCTCAGTTCTCTCAATTCCACCCAACATTCAGGCCTGAAAAGAAGAATTACTGTTTTAAGGTACTTTGCTATAAGTTCTAGAGGAACAAAAACTGATTTAACATTATTTTAGAGACCCCAGGAATTTCAACTATACATGTTTAAGGGAACTGACACAGATAATCAGGCAAAGAGAAATTACATCACATTTAAAATGACTCAGGAACTTAAGGAAGGGAGATGAGGCAAAATAATCTAAACTAGCTCCCATTGAGTTGGAAATAATGGAAGAAGCAGAAAAGAACTATAATAAAAGAGAAATGTGAACTACTCTCAAGTAGATGAAATTAAAGCAAAAAAAAAAAGAAAAAAAAACAACTCTGAGACTAAAAATAATTCACCAGGAGTTAGGCAATAAGTCTAAATTGCTACTTTTAAAAATATCTGCAAAAGTAAAATTTGAACACTGTAAAATCCTCCTATTACTAAAGTCACAAAGAAAGTGAAGTCCAAAAATCAAGCCTCACAGTCCTCAGGCAGAGGTGTCTAATGCAGAACGCTGGTAAGGACAGGGGTTGTTCAGCAGAGTCATGGGCCCTTCTTTAATTGGCATTCTTTAAGACCCTCTGAAGTTAAATGCAATATCAAATGTCTCTTTGTTACTCCACTTTTTAAAAGATCCTAAATATGAAGTGTCATGCAAGGTTATTTTAACATGAGCCCACCCTCTGAAATTTCAAAATAATCTATTCCTTTTTTTTATCAAAAAACAGTTATCCCAGGCAAAATCTTGCATACAACAAGGACATAGATCTTGATAAAATCTGAATCCATTTGACTGTTGCCAAGCCCAACAGAAAAGACCATTTGCACCCAACTGAGTAAAATCATGTTTGGGGTTTGCTGGGATAATGCTCCCTCTATGCCAACTGTCTGAAAGCTCAACCCTTGAACTTCAAATCATTTCTAAGAAGTCTTCCAAGACCACTTCTCTTCACCAAGGAAGCAATACTTGAGATTTCATTGCCCTCCCAATCTCCAAAAAATTAAAATACTGCTCCTGCCTGTCACCGAGTTTTATGTGAGATGTGCCTCATTCACACCCAGGTTCTTCAAAACCTATTTTTTTCCCTTTGTAGTTGTGTTTCTAGCATGCTGACTTGAACATGAATCCTCCCCAGGGGCCTAATCTTCACTGTGAGTTGGAAGTGAGTTTAATTTCCTCCCACTGCTGTTTCTGGCTGTGGAATTGCACTATGGATTTGCCTCCTGGAGAAGTTCTGCTCCCTGTCCCCTCATGTTCTGGAGACCAGCTTTGGTGGATTGTTAACTGAAGCACTGGATGATATTGCTGCTGTAGCCCTGGGTACCTTTTTACTTTCCCCAGTGCTCTTCCTTTCCACAGAGTTTAAATTTTTTCCTAGGCTTTGAAAAATCTTTCAAAACAGCAGAAAAAAAATTTTTTTTTCAGTCTCCTCCATGTTTTTTCCACACACTAGTGAAGATATGCCCCTAGTATTCTATTTATGTATGTTATTCTTGGCCTCTTTGAGAACTCCCTAAGTTTAAATTTTAGATTCAGGTTTAAATCTTTTTAACTCGGCCTCTTTTTAAACTTTCTCTAGAATTGTCACACTTTGTTCTATTTTACTATTTTTTAAAAAATGTTTTCTTTGTTTATTGGCCTGAACATTTGTTTTTCTAGCATATTTTTCTTGACTTTTGTCTTGTAGGGTAACAGATCGTGAGTGATATAAAACTAATGATATAAAACTAATGAGTCTGGGCTGGGGATGTGGCTCAAGCGGTAGCGCGCTCGCCTGGCATGCGTGCGGCCTGGGTTCGATCCTCAGCACCACATACCAACAAAGATGTTGTGTCCGCCGAGAACTAGAAAATAAATATTAAAAAAAAAATTCTCTCTCTCTCCTCTCTCACTCTCTCTTTAAAAAAAAAAAAAACTAATGAGTCTGCCAAATACATCCACTGTTCAAACAATTCTCATGCAATTCTTGCAATTCTATCTCCTTGATCAAAAAGCCACCTGAGAGGCCTTCTCCATTTGGAACAACATTTAAGTCACAAGTGGACCTCATTATTTGGTAGCTCCTCTTATTTATGCTCTTATTCCAAAGTCAGTAATTATTTCAGGAAAATTCCCTCAGAGTAGCCGTTCTCAACTGGGGGGTAATTTTGCCCTCCTTATACCCAAGGGACATGTGGCAAGTCTGTAGGCTTTTTTTTTTTTTTGTCTTTTTAAAAAAATTTATTTCTTACATACATGACAATAGTGGAGTGCATTACATTCATAATTATCTATTCACATTACAGTTTTTTGTAACTCTGTATATAGAGTATGTTCACACCAAATTATGCCATTATATATGAGCTCTCTTATTTATTTGCATACAATTATTAATTCACCTTTATACCACCATTTATCTTATCTCTGTTTGTATATAAGGTATGTTGACCCAAATTCACATCTTCATACATGTATTTTGTATAATGATGACCCTCTCCTTCCATCATCCTAGCTATTCCCCTTCTCCCTCCCTTTCCCTCCCACCCCTATTCCCTATCTAGACGTAATTTTCCTCCCATGCTCTCCCTCCCTACCCCACTTTGAGTCACCCCCCTTATATCAGAGAAAACAGTCGGCACTTGTTTTTTGGGGACTGGCTCACTTCACTTAGCTTTTTTTGTTGTCACAGTTGGGGAATTACTACTGGCTTCTAATGGGCACAACTAGAATGCTGTAAAACATTCTACAATGCACAGAACAGTCTGATGACAATGGGTTTTTCTGGTCTGAAAACGTCCATCTGATACTGCTCAACTAAAGTTAAACCCTGTCTTGAGTGTAGGAAATGTATCCACCTTCTTGTCATCAGTGAATCATCTTCCAATTTTCCCACCATGGCATCAAGAGTTCAGTGCTCCTGTCAGAGGCTTCTCAGGAATCTGTCCAGATGTCCTATAGTCACTTGTTTGCGCTGCCTGGTCTTTAAAGAGATCCCAGTCACTTCTTTTTACAGTTTTACCCAGGGCTGTAAGGGGGATTCGCTGTGTTGGGGACCCCCCCTCAGAAGTACTGCCATTTGCTCCCTGAAGCTTCACTTCTCTTGTCATTTCGGTGAACTCCCATCACAGACTCGGTCATGACCCTTATATCTTTTCTGAAATGGCGCCATCCTAATGAGAGACGAGGGTGAGCTTATCTTTTTATCTTGTCTGGTCTGTAAGTAGCGCTTTAATAGGTCATTCTCCCTTCCTTTGAGAAGAAACCGCCCATTGCAATCTTGGCTTTTCTGCCCCCAAATCTTTTACTTCCTTTAGTAGAATCCACTGATGCTCCTTTAATATCTTATTCTCCCACTTCAGCTCTCCTGATGATCAAACCAAAACATTTCTTAAAACCAATTCAGTCACTCATTGATTTCTTGAACAAATTGAGTTCTTAAAGTCATAGCGCAATCACAGAAAGCCCTTTAAGTGGCTTTCTTAACATTTCATCTCTACTAATTTCATTAAATTGTTTTTCTGTCTGCATCCTAGAATATGGTATCTTCCCTAATGGAAGCCTTCATTCAGAGGCCCTGTTCACTGACACACCTCTGTGGCTGAAACCATAAGGAGTTTCTAAACCCACAGGGAAGATCACAGACTGCGTGATTAACACCTGTTGAAAGGTCAGAAGACGCTGGGAAAGAATGAGACTCTCAAGGACCTTAAGAGTTTCAGAGATCTCCTTCCAGTTCACTCATGGGCCTCAGATTCAATTTAAAATAATATACAAAAGCTATCAGCCTCACCCACTTCATTCTGACAGCAAATCACAAAACCATTTGTGGTAACCAACTTAAATCCTGATCCTTTGATTTGATTTAAAAGAACTGTAAAGGCCAAACAGACTGATCATGTACATTAATGCCTAAAATGTCTCTTTTGTGACATGCTGCCTTTTGGGAGGGGAGTATTTACAGTAGTCAAGGACTTCTCTTTCTTTTAATCAAATGGCTCTTAAACTACTGAAAGGCTTTTAGAGAATGCAAGGGGAGGGTTTTTTGTTTTGTTTTGTTGTACGAAAGATAGAACACACAGGGCACTTAATCACTGAGCCACATCTCCAGCCCTTTTTACTTTTTATTTAGAGACAGAGTCTCAATGAGTTGCTTAGGGCCTTGCTAAGTTGCTGAGGCTGGCTTTGAACTTGCAATCCTCCTGCCTCAGCCTCTGGAGCCACTTGTGTTACAGGCGTGCACCACTTTGCCCAGCTTCAAGGGGAAGTTTTTAAAAATAATAACACCCGTTTCCTACTTCCAGCGATTTATCTAGATATAAATATTCAGTTACATCCTGTGCACCGAGAGGTTTAAAATGTTTTCCAAGTGATTCTGAAGGTGAGCATTAGCAGTCAAATTTGAAACCATTGCCATAATCAATTTCTACTCTGCTGTCACAGAGGACAAGATCCATCCCAACTGCAGAAGCCTATACAGCTCTAGCTTAAGATATCCCATTGCACTTATCTTGGAGTAACATTCAAGGTTTGTGACCCATGCAGCCAAACTTCATCCATTCTCTCTGAATCTCAGACCCAAATAAGGCACATGCAGAGGTGTCAGAAAGAACAATAGCAAAACAGCAACTTCATAACTGATAAAATTAACTTAAAGGTCATATGAAAGTCCTAATACTTTCTCCAGTGAGTTCAATGTACCCATCAAGGTCAAGCCCTCCCTCCAGGGACTTGTTGTCATATAAAATACACAAGGATTAGATATAGCTGAGTACTAGGGTGGTAAGGAACAGTTTTAAAATGTCATGTTTTTACAGATTTATTCCATCTCAAAGAAATATATACCGAATACCTCTAATCTGCTTAAGTCTTACAAAATTATACAATGGTATGAGAAAATAAAAAACAGCCTCAGAACATTTATGATCTAGCTGGGAAGCCATGACACAGATATGAAGAACAAAGACTGGAGATTAGGATTTAGCAATGGCCAGATGCGGGGCATGAACACGAAATGCTCTAATAT